ATGTATTTATAGAGGTAAATATGTGCTACCGTTAAGACAGCATAAAAGATGGACACGTAATACAGTGTTTCTTCTTTCCCCCAACGTGGCAGCTAACTGAACAATAGGCAGGAGCCTGGAATTTGCAGGATGGGTGGGTCTCCTCCTTAGATCCCTCCCTGATACAAAAGATCCTTGTGACACTCAGGATGCTAGCAGTGTAGGCTGGCACACAGCATTCTTGACATGTATGAAGAATGAAAACCTATGCCGAGCACATGTCATGAAATAAGCAAAGAGAACACAGGAGGCAGCGGCACTTTGCACTGGAGCTGGGGCGGGGGGTGATATGTATTCAACTGAAAGAGGTTCCTGCCATTTTCCACATCACTTACTTTCCAGGATGGTCTGCGGCTTGGTCTTGTTGGGTTTCTCCTGGGATTTCTGGAAAGAAGACCAGAGCTGTGTCAAATAAGATCAACCCACTGCTGACTATAAGACGGTCCACACCGGTGCTCTGAATAGGACTTCTTCTCTATCCTTTCCGGTATTTCACTTCTTCCCAACGGGTAAAAAGAAAGGCGATGCAGATAAAAAGTGCTGTGGCCATAGACTGTTGTCCTGCATTCTAACGCAGGTCTGGCTTGAGAACACGCCACCTTCATCCAGAGGCACAGGGAGCCAGACGTGGCAGTCTGTGTGGCTGGGCCCAGGCTGCAAGAGGCACTCCCATCAGCCCTTGCTGTGTGCCTTCCTCCTGGTTCTCCCTCCGAACGTCTCTGCGCACCGGGATGTCAGATTCTAGACCAGCCCCTCAACTCTGCTGACCTGACACAATGTGTGTTCCCATTACAGAAGAGGCTTGTGACTTCTGAGTTTCCTTGAGAAAGTTCATCAGGGCTGAGTCACAGGGTTTTTAGACATGATTTCGGGAGGGCAGGGGTGGTGCTGGCTGGAATCATAGATGTCTCTACCTACTCTAGCGTTGCCCCAAACATCAAGCATTTCTCTAGGCCAGTGCTCTTCAAATCACGTTCCTGGCACCAGGAGCATCAGCCTCCCCCAAGAAGTTATTACCAAAGTCTCAGGCCCCACTAGACCTACTGGGTCAGAA